TGCTAGGATTACAGGCATGAGCCACCATGCCCGGCCTAAATTATATATTTTTAAAGAAATGAGATATTTGAAAAGAAATACTGAAAAGCATTAAGAAAGTGTAAAAGTCACTCATTATCTCATACCCCAGAGATAGCTACTGTTAACATTGACATATTTCTTCTAGTCATATATATATTATAAAGCTGTACTTATATGTATTTGTGAAATTGGAATACATTATGTAATGTTTTATATTCTACTCTTTCTCCTCCCACTTATTGATTATACTATTTGTATCATTATATGTAATTGAGAGTATGATTTAGTTAAGCATTTCTCTATTATTAAATATTTAGAGGCTGTTTCCAATTTTTTGCTAAATAACTTTGAGATCAAGTACATGGTACATAAATCTTTACGCATATCTCTAATCATCTCTTTGGGATAAATTTCCAGGAGAGAAATAACTGGGTCAAAAGCTGTGACCATTTGATAGGTTCTTGTTAGATATTGACATGTTAAAAGATATTTTTCCTTGTGATAGGATAATATACAATTTTTTCCCCAAGGAACATATGCATGATAAAAATATCATCAAAGCTGTAGAACAGCAGCAGCAAGAGGAGGAAAATGAAAAGATTAGAAAATTTATCAAAGCGAAAAAGCGTCTTATACAAATGGGGAAAGAAAAAGAAGCTGAAACACACAGGTAGGCTTTTACAATAATTTGTAGGTCAGGTGCAGTGGCTTGTGCCTGTAGTTCTACCTACTTGGGAGGCTAAGGCAGAAGGATCGCTTGAGTCCAGGAGTTTCAAGCTACAGTGAGCTGTGATCGCACCACTGCACTCCAGCCTGGGTGTCAGAGACCCTGTCTCTAAATATATAAATAAATAAGTAAATAATAATTTGTATAATTAATAAAGTACTACCTGAAATTATATTACTACAAATCAGAGGTTGTGATATAAGAGTTGTCTTTTGCAAGAGAAGTCTTAGTATTTTATATATGAGTAGAGTGTTTAGTGACTTGACTATTTCAGTTGGGACATGTGAGTTGAGGTACCCTTGGAATATCCAGGACATTACCTGGTAGATGGTTGGAAATACTGGTCTGCTTTATGAGATGGATATGAGCTGGAGATGGTTTTGCGAACCATTGGTATATAAGTGGTAGGTGGAGTTGTGGATACAGGTGAGCTCATCTAGGGAGTATAGGTAAGAAATGAAGGTTACATAGTTCCTGGGCAACTCCATATTTAAGGGTCATATAGACAAAGAAGATAATGTGAAGACCAAAGAATAGTTTCCAGAGATTGGAGGAAAACCAGAGAAACATCAGGGGAGAAGAATTTTCAGTAAGAAGCAGTCATCATCCAAGATCAAGGAGCCAACAGCAAAAAAAAAAAAAAAAAAGAAGACGAAGAAGCAGCCTTCAGTGTTAGGTCAATAGAAGGATTAAATAAGATTTTAAAAAATCAAACATCCAACAGATTTAGAGATCATTGCTCACCTTAGTGAGCAGTTTGTGATAGGGTGGAGAGAGAAGAGTAGGAGACCAAGTTGCAGTACAGGGTGTTTCTGTCTAGATCATGCTTTTTCCTCTTACAATATCCTCTGGTGGCTTCACATTTCACTTAAGAGTCTTACAATGGCTCATAAGGCTCTATACCCACCCTGCTTCCCAGCTGATCCAAGCCTCATCTCTCAGACCTCATCTCTTACTGTTCTCTCCTCTCCCTCTTCTCACCTACACTGGACTTCTGTATCTTCTCTAGGCAATGCCACCCCCAGAGAACACATAACTTGCTCCCTTAACTCTTTCAGATCTTTACTTAAATATTGTTATTGAGACTTTCCATGACCACCTTATTTAAAATTATACCTCTTCCCCAATTGCTTATGATTTTAACTGCTTTCTTACTCCTCATTGTTTGATATATGACATTATATATTT